TATCCACCAATAAACAGAGGTGGGCTGTACCAAACTATCCACCAATAAACAGATGGGGGCTGTACCAAACTATCCACCAATAAACAGATGGGGGCTGTACCAAACTATCCACCAATAAACAGATTGTACCAAAACATCCACCAATAAACAGATGCGGGCTATACCAACATCTCCACCAATAATCAGATGCTACCAAACTATCCACCAATAAACAGATACGGGCTGTACCAAACTATCCACCAATAAACAGATTGTACCAAAACATCCACCAATAAACAGATGCGGGCTATACCAACATCACCACCAATAAACAGATGCTACCAAACTATCCACCATTTAACAGATGCAGACTGTATCAAAATATCCACCAATCAACAGATGTGGGCTGTACCAAAATATCCACCAATAAACAGATGTGGGCTGTACCAAAATATCCACCAATAAACAGATACGGGCTGTACCAAACCAACCACCAATAAACAGATGTGGGCTGTACCAAACTATCCCCCAATAAACAGATGCGGGCTGTACCAAAATATCTACCAATAAACCGATGCTACCAAACTATCCACCATTAAACAGATGCGGGCTGTACCAAACCATCCACCAATAAACAGATGCGGGCTATACCAACATCACCACCAATAAACAGATGCTACCAAACTATCCACCATTAAACAGATGCGGGCTGTACCAAAACATCCACCAATAAAAAGATGCGGGCTATACCAACATCTCCACCAATAAAAAGATGCTACCAAACTATCCACCAATTAACAGATGCGGGTTGTACCAAAATATCCAACAATAAACAGCTGCGGGCGGTACCAAAATACCAACCAATAAACAGATGTGGGCTGTACCAAAATATCCACCAATAAACATATGCGGGCTGTACCAAACTATCCACCAATAAACAGATTGTACCAAAACATCCACCAATAAACAGATGCGGGCTATACCAACATCTCCACCAATAAAAAGATGCTACCAAACTATCCACCAATTAACAGATGCGGGTTGTACCAAAATATCCAACAATAAACAGATGCGGGCGGTACCAAAATACCAACCAATAAACAGATGTGGGCTGTACCAAAATATCCACCAGTAAACAGATGCGGGCAGTACCAAAATATCCACCAATAAACAGATACGGGCTGTACCAAACCATCCACCAATAAACAGATGTGGGCTGTACCAAACTATCCACCAATAAACAGATGCGGATGATGCGGGCTGTACCAAAATATCTACCAATAAACAGATGCTACCAAACTATCCACCAACAAACAGATGCTACCAAACTATCGACCATTAAACAGATGCGGGCTGTACCAAAATATCCACCAGTAAACAGATGCGGGCAGTACCAAAATATCCACCAATAAACAGATGTGGGCTGTACCAAAATATCCACCAATAAACAGATGCGGGCTGTACCAAAATATCCACCAATAAACAGATACGGGCTGTACCAAACCAACCACCAATAAACAGGTGCTACCAAAATATCCACCAACAAACAGATGCTACCAAACTATCCACCAATAAACAGATGCTACCAAAATATCCACCAATAAACAGATGTGGGCTGTACCAAAATATCCACCAATAAACAGATGCGGGCTGTACCAAACTATCCACCAATAAACAGATGTGGGCTGTACCAAACTATCCAACAATAAACAGATGCGGGCTGTACCAAAATATCTACAAATAAACAGATGCTACCAAACTATCCACAAACAAACAGATGCTACCAAACTATCCACCATTAAACAGATGCGGGCTGTACCAAAACATCCACCAATAAACAGATGCGGGCTATACCAACATCTCCACCAATAAACAGATGCTACCAAACTATCCACCAATAAACAGATGCGGATTGTACCAAAATATCCAACAATAAACAGATGCAGGCGGTACCAAAATACCAACCAATAAACAGATGTGGGCTGTACCAAAATATCCACCAATAAACAGATGAGGGCTGTACCAAAATATCCACCAATAAACAGATACGGGCTGTACCAAACCAACCACCAATAAACAGATGTGGGCTGTACCAAACTATCCACCAATAAACAGATGCGGGCTGTACCAAAATATCTACCAATAAACAGATGCTACCAAACTATCCACCAACAAACAGATGCTACCAAACTATCCACCATTAAACAGATGCGGGCTGTACCAAAATATCCACCAATAAACAGATGCGGGCTGTACCAAAATATCCACCAATAAACAGATGCGGGCTGTACCAAAATATCCACCAATAAACAGATGCGGGCTGTACCAAAATATCCACCAATAAACAGATGCGGGCTGTACCAAAATATCCACCAATAAACAGATGCGGGCTGTACCAAAATATCCACCAATAAACAGATGCGGGCTGTACCAAAATATCCACCAATAAACAGATGCGGGCTGTACCAAACCAACCACCAATAAACAGATGCTACCAAAATATCCACCAATAAACAGATGCTACCAAACTATCCACCAATAAACAGATGCTACCAAAATATCAACCAATAAACTGATGCGGGCTGTACCAAAATATCTACAAATAAACAGATGCTACCCCCAATAAACAGGTGCTACCAAAATATCCACCAATAAACAGATGCTACCAAACTATCCACCAATAAACAGATGCGGGCGGTACCAAAATATCCACCAATAAACAGATGCGGGCTGTACCAAACTATCCAACAATAAACAGATGCGGGCTGTACCAAAATATCAACCAATAAACAGATACATAAACAGATGTGGGCTGTACCAAACTATCCACTAATAAACAGATGCGGGCGGTACCAAAATATCCACCAATAAACAGATGCGGGCTGTACCAAAACATCCACCAATAAACAGATGCGGGCTATACCAACATCTCCACCAATAAACAGATGCTACCAAACTATCCACCAATACACAGATGCGGGCTGTACCAAAATATCCAACAATAAACAGATGCGAGCGGTACCAAAATACCAACCAATAAACAGATGTGGGCTGTACCTATCCACCAATAAACAGATACGGGCTGTATCAAACCAACCACCAATAAAGAGATGCGGGCGGTACCAAACTATCCACCAATAAACAGATGTGGGCTGAACCAAAATATCCACCAATAAACAGATCCGGGCTGTCCCAAAATATCCACCAATAAACAGAAACGGGCTTTACCAACCCAACCACCAATAAACAGATGCGGGCGGTACCAAACTATCCACCAATAAACAGATGCGGGCGGAAATAAAATATCCACCAATAAACAGATGTGGGCTGTACCTATCCACCAATAAACAGATACGGGCTGTACCAAACTATCCACCAATAAACAGATGCGGGCTGTACCAAAATATCCACCAATAAACAGATGCGGGCGGTAATAAAATATCCACCAATAAACAGATGTGGGCTGTACCAAAATATCCACCAATAAACAGATGCGGGCTGTACCAAACTATCCACCAATAAACAGATGCGGGCTGTACCAAAATATCCACCAATAAACAGATACGGGCTGTACCAAACCAACCACCAATAAACAGATGCGGGCGGTACCAAACTATCCACCAATAAACAGATGTGGGCTGTACCAAAATATCCAACAATAAACAGATGCCGGCTGTACCAAACCATTCACCAATAAAAAGGTGTGGGCTGTACCAAACTATCCACCAATAAACAGATGCGGGCTGTGCCAAAATATCCACCAATAAACAGATGTGGGCTGTACCAAACTATCCACCAATAAACAGATGCTACCAAACTATCCACCAATAAACAGATGCGGGCTGTACCAAATTATCCACCAATAAACAGATGCTACCAAACTATCCACCAATTAACAGATGCGGGCTGTACCAAACTATCCACCAATAAACAGATGCTACCAAAATCCCCACCAATAAACAGATGCTACCAAACTACCCACTAATAAACAGATACGGACTGTACCAAAATATCCACCAATAAACAGATGCCGGCTGTACCAAAATATCCACCAATAAACAGATGCGGGCTGTACCAAACTATCCACCAATAAACAGATGCGGGCTGTACCTAAATATCCACCAATAAACAGATGCTACCAAAATATCCACCAATAAACAGATTCGGGCTGTACCAAACTATCCACCAATAACCAGATGCTACCAAAATATCAACCAATACACTGATGCGGGCTGTACCAAAATATCTACCAATAAACAGATGCTACCAAAATATCAACCAATAAACAGATGCTACCAAACTATCCACCATTTAACAGATGCGGGCTGTACCAAAACATCCACCAATAAACAGATGCGGGCTGTACCAAACTATCCACCAAAAAACAAATGCTACCAAACTATCCACCAATAAACAGATGCGGGCTGTACTAAACTATCCACCAATAAACAGATGCGGGCTGTACCAAAATATCCACCAATAAACAGATGCGGGCGGTACTAAAATATCCACCAATAAACAGATGTGGGCTGTACAAAACTATCCACCCATAAACAGATGCTACCAAAATATCCACCAATAAACAGATGCGGGCTGTACAAAACTATCCACCCATAAACAGATGCTACCAAACTATCCACCAATAAACAGATGCGGGCTGTATCAAAAAATCCAATTGGATGACACGTTTGTCTTCTTTCCTTTCTTGATAGTAACATCCCTGCTTCAAACACAAGCGTTGTTTTTATGCTACAGCTGATTTGGTTTTCAAGAGCTTGCTCCGAGTATAATGACTTTCGTGATAAAAGTCCGCTGCTAACGGAAAAACTTGTATTCCTTGATTTCCAGAAAACTGCAGGTTGGTGAAGACTTTGGACAACATTTTGTATCTGCGTGTGATCTGAAAGTCGATGGTTTGGATTATGTTCATTATTTTGACATATGAATTTGTTTCCACTAGCCAAGGTCTCGATGTGTTGTGTTATATGGCTGGTATCGCCGATGAAGCAGAGTACGCTTACCCTTCCGGAACACCTGGAATTGTTCCTTCTGTACTTTTTCATTTGTCTCCTTTGTTCTCATTTTGCACAGGTTTTATCGATTTTAAGTTCGAATTAAAATTCTGTTGACACTTCAGTACTCTTTTGTTATTTGACAAGACATTGATGCAGTAATGTAACGAGCTTTTTGACAACACAATACTTCTGTTGTAGAAAGTCATAGTAAATGGTCGTCAGAAATGGCTGCTATATACTATTCAAATTGTTTGTTAAGTTTTTTTTTTATCGGTGAGACAGATAACTACTTTTCTTTCCAAAGTTTATGATTAATAAGATCATAGCAAAGTACGAATGTAATAATCCCTATGAGAATAACCTCCTATTATTTGATTGACGTTTGTATTCTTAAAAACATCAAATGACAGACCGACCATATATCCTTATGAAATCCTGGAATTTTTTGTACGGATAACAATATTCAAAGAAAAACCGAATTGTCTTAATGTCCATAAGGTTGTTGGTAAAACGCTTCTCACTTTGTTCACTCGACTAATGTTTAAAAGATGACTGTGCTCTAAAGAGGTTGGTCATATGTTCTTCGGGTTTGACAGGTGGTTAAAATATTGGAAATGTGTCCCCCGTCTACACCCGCAATAACATTGCTGCCCGATAAAAGCTATCACTGACGTCTTCACTCGAAGAAACCTGATATATATATATTAGACGATTGACATATCGATAGTTTATTCACATGATATGCACGTGAAGTGCATGCGTGCCGGTACGATTTGTCACATGATGAAAACTGACTAATCAAGGAGCAGGACCTTAACTGCCTGATGTAGTTAGGGAGATGTCGCTTATAATTACATCGCCTGCTACAAAGTTCATTAACAGTGAGGTATGTCCACAGTGTGGTTTGTATCTCGGTGACGATGTGACGGTAAACACATTACGGGAGGTTGTTGCCGGGCAGGATTTGCGCTTTAACCATAGAGCGTCGGTCTTATGGCATTACCGGCCAAATTACACTCTATACCTTCCGTATCCACATACATTTATGGGATCTAAAACAGCGGAAGAGACGATGTCTGGGGTTTGTATAAATGTCATTAACAGGACAGACGTACTAGGCTTTCAATGGCTAGGGGCGCAGTTACAAACCTGCCGACCTCCACTGGCTTGTCTTCAACGGTGTGATTAGGCTGAGATCACGCTAAGGAACTCCCAGAAAATGAACACCTGCTTTGGTCAATTTCCATAGACGATGGAATGATGTTGACATGGAAATGTGAGTTCGCATTCCTCCTACAAACTCCGATCGTTATCAATGTTGGTGCACGTTGATACCGATACTAGTTCAATTTGTTTCCTGCAATTGAGATTAAAAAGTGTGCGATGCGTAGATTGCATTAGTTAAATAGTCCTGTCAAACCCCAACCAGTCAACTAAATCGAAGGAATCTCTCAGTAGGCTATATAATTGCTTTGTAACAGGTACTATAATAAACGGGATGTAGCGAAACATTCTGTGAAGTATTTGATGTCCGTGTGTTGAAATGCTTAATGGTTAGAACTTGAAAAAGTTAAACAGCATTTAAACCTGATCCTTCTCCGGGAATCGCTATTAAACAGCCGCTTAATACTCCTAGGAGAAGCTGATGAACAAGAAAGTCTTGTCGAACAAGCTTCCCACAGTTATATCATAACTACATGTCTTGGGGCCAAGTGTTTTAATTTATATCTGGAATACGAGGATGTGACGAGCGGGTTATGCTGTAGTAAAGTTATCTTGAGACTTGTTACTGACAATGAAAAGTGAGGGTTCTGAGAATATTTACTCTCATGAAGCTGGAATGGGACTGATTGTATTTTTGCCGACTGAGGCTTGTTTCGTTTATTAGGTCTAAATATTGTGTTCACTTTGTCACACGAGAGAGGCAAAACAATACCCGACAGTAAAGCAGGTTGTGGATGTGCCCCAATAAAACAGAACTGGTAGAAACATGACTAATCCAATTTCACCCGGTAACTACTGATATCACCCGTTAACGTTTAAAACTATCCGGTAACATGTAATATCCCCGGGTATCTTCTAAAACCACACGGTAACCTCTACTATCCCCGGGTATCTTCTAATACCACACGAAAACCTCTACTATCCCCGGGTATCTTCTAATACCACACGGTAACCTCTACTGTCCCGGGGTATCTTCTAATACCACACGATAACCTCTACTGTCCCCGGGTATCTTCTAATATCACAAGAAAACCTCTACTATCCCCGGGTATCTTCCAATACCACACAGTAACCTCTACTATCCCCGGGTATCTTCTAATACCACACGGTAACCTCTACTATCCCCGGGTATCTTCTAATATCACACGAAAACCTCTACTATCCCCGGGTATCTTCTAATACCACACGGCCACCTCTACTGTCCCCGGGTATCTTCTAATGCCGCACGGTAACCTCTACTGTCCCCGGGTATCTTCTAATACCACACGAAAACCTCTACTATCCCCGGGTATCTTCCAATACCACACAGTAACCTCTACTATCCCCGGGTATCTTCTAATACCACACGGCAACCTCTACTGTCCCCGGGTATCTTCTAATACCACACGAAAACCTCTCCTGAGTTTTCCCTATATGAAAACAATACGATAAAATCCGTATTTCCCTTAAATCACTAAAATATCTCGATCTGAGAGCTACTCCCTCCCCAAATTAGGATTACTCCCTGCAAAAAAGGACTACTCACTGCCAGAAAGAGGACTACTCCCTCATGAATATTTGTAGGTGGAGCTTATAAGAATTCAGCCAATGAAAACATTGGTAGGCGAAGCTTATAAGATTTCAACCAATGAAAACATTGGTAGGCGGGGCCCCCGGTATCGCCGTATATCCCTTGTATCTCCTAATATCCCAGGTATCCCCTGATATCTCCGATATCCCCTTATTTCTCCGGTATCACCTTATATCTCCGTTATAACCTTATATCCCCGTTATCCCCTAATATCCCCGGTATCCCCTAATATTTACGATACTTTCTTATATTCCTGGTAACCTCTATATATCCCTGGTAACCTCTATATATCCCTGGTATCCTCTATATGTCCCTGGTAACCTCTATATGACCCTGGTAATCTCTATATATCCCTGGTAACCTCTATATATCCCTGGTAACCTATATATATCCCTGGGAACCTCTATATATCCCTGGTATCCTCTATATATCCCTGGTAACCTCGATTTATCCCTGGTAACCTCTATATGTCCCTGGAAACCTCTATATGACCCTGGTATCCTCTATATATCCCAAGTATCCTCTATATGACCCTGGTATCCTCTATAAGACCCTGGTAACCTCTATATATCCATGGTAACCTCTATATGACGATGGTAACCTCTATATGACCCTGGTATCCTTTATATATTCCTGGTAACCTCTATATGACCCTGGTATCCTCTATTTATCCCTGGGAACCTCTATATGACCCTTGATATCCCTGGTATCCTCTATATGACCCTGGTATCCTATATATATCCCTGGTATCCTCTACATGTCCCTGATATCCTCAATATGACCCTGGTATCCTTTATATATCCCTGGTAACCTCTATATGACCCTGGTATCCTCTATTTATCCCTGGTAACCTCTATATGACCCTGGTATCCTATATATATCCCTGGTATCCTCTACATGTCCCTGGTATCCTCAATATGACACTGTTAACCTCTATATGACACTGGTAACCTCGATATGACCCTGGTAGCCTCTGTTTGACCCTGTTAACCTCTATATGACCCTAGTATCCTCTATATGACCCTGGTAACCTCTATATGACCTTGGTAACTTCTATATATAACCCTGGTATACTCTTTATGACCATGGTAACCTCTATATGACCCTGGTAACCTCTATATGACCATGGTAACCTCTACATGACCCTGATTACCTCTATATGACCCTGGTAACCTCTATATGACACTGGTAACCTCTATACATGTATATCCCTGGTAACCTCTATATGTCCCTGGTATCCTCTATATGTCACTCGTAGCCTCTATATGACCTTGGTATGCTTTATATGTCCATAGTATCCTCTATATGCCCCTGGTTACCTCTATACGACCCTGGTATTCTCTATATTACCCTGGTATCCTCTATATGACCCTGATACCCTGGTATCCTCTATATGACCCTGGTAACCTCTATATATCCCTGGTATCCTCTATATATCACTCGTAGCCTCTATATGACCTTGGTATCCTTTATATGTCCATAGTATCCTCTATATGACCCTGGTTACCTCTATACGACCCTGGTATTCTCTATATTACCCTGGTATCCTCTATATGACCCTGATACCCTGGTATCCTCTATATGACCCTGGTAACCTCTATATGACCCTGGTATCCTCTATATATCCCTGGTATCCTCTATATTTTCCTGATATCCTCCATATATCCCTGGTAACCTCTATATGACCTTGGTATCCTCTATATAACCTTGGTAACCTCTATATGACCCTGGTATTCTCTATATATCCCTGGTATCCTCTATATTTTCTTGGTATCCTCTATATATCCCTGGTATCCTCTATATAACCTTGGTAACCTCTATATGACCCTGGTAACCTCTATATGACCCTGGTAACCTCGATATATCCATGGTATCCTCTATATAACCTTGTAACCTCTATATAACCTTGGTAACCTCTATATCACCCTGGTAACCTCTATATATCCCTGGTAATCTCGATATATCCATGGTATCCTCTATATAACCTTGGTAACCTCTATATGACCCTGGTAACCTCTATATGACCCTGGTAACCTATAAATGACCCTGGTAACCTCTATATGACCCTGGGTACCTCTATATATCCCTGGTAACTTCTATATCTTACCTGTAACCTCTATATGACACTGTTTACCTCTATATATCCATGGTTACCTCTATATGACCCTGGTAATCTCTATATGACCCTGATAACCTCTATATGACCCTGATAACCTCTATATGACCCTGGTATCCTTTATATCACCCTGGTAACCTCCATATGACCCTTGTAA